GCAGCTGTACGGGACACCTGGAGTTATTCTGGCTGCAGGTTCTGGAGATGTAATATCCTTCTGCGGTGCAGTATCCTAAGTGAGCTGTAATTTGACAGGGTTCAAGTAGGGGGCTATGTCAGCATGTGCAGGCTACAAAAAGGAAAATGGTAAATGTTCATTCCACACCGAGAGGTAAAGAAACACAGGACGAAAGCTCCAGAGCTGGAACGTTTTGTTTCTTTTCTTTACCTTCTGGCATGGAATGAACCTTTTCCTGTTCTTTTCCTTTAACACATTGCATTCTCTTCACTTTCCTTCCTTTCCTTGAAATGTGCCTCTTCTCATGGCCAGCCCTCATACTCCACTGCACGTTTATATCGATGATGAGTGACCATGAACTTCGCAGTTCCTTTCTCTGTAGTTCGCACCCCCATCCATGTGCCATCCTGCACGGGGCTAATATCTGCATGTATTATTACATTGCTTGTCTAAATTCTAAATCCATGTATGTTCATTGGTGGTGCAGTGGTTAGGAGTGCTTGGCTGTGCTGCCTTGCAGCTCTGGGTTCAATTCCAGACCTGGCATGGCTACTTTTCTTCCGCAGTCCAAAGACATGCTGGTACTGTAGGTTAATTGACGTCTGGGAAAACTGGCTCTGGTGTGAGGGTGTGTGTCTGTGTGTGGCCTGTGATGGACTGGCGTCCTGTCCAGGGTGTGTGAGAGTGTGTGTCTGTGTGTAGCCTGTGATGGACTGGCATCCTGTCCAGGGTGTGTGTGTGTGTGTCTGTGTGTGTATGGCTTGTGATGGACTGGCGTCCTGTCCAGGGTGTCTGTCTGTGCCCTGTGATGGACTAGGGTCCTGTCTAGGGTATGTGAGTGTGTCTGTGTGTGTCTAGTGATGGACTGGCGTCCTGTCCATAGTGTGTGTGTGTGTGTGTGTGTGTGTGTGTGTGTGTGTGTGCCCTATGATGGACAGGAGTCCTGTCCAGGGTGTACCCTGCCTTGCGCCCTTTGCTTGTTGGGATGGGCTGTGGCTGTGAAAATGGATGAATGTTTGTCCATTCTGGCACTTAAGCATTTTGCTTCTTCCATAGCGCTTGCATCCAGCATTCGTGCCATTTGTATACAAATCGCTGACTCAGTACATATTATCTCCGTGGTATGGGTGACACAGGTTTAAATCCGCTCCAGGATCAGGTGTTTTAAGTCTTTCCCCCTGCTCACCTCACTGAGTGAGCTGCAGCCTCCAGCCTTTCGTCCCTGAGCTCTGAATGAGCTGGGATTCCCCCCACCTGCTGCATTTTCCTGTCCTTTTGGATTTTTCCATTCCTGTAGTCGCCTTATCGGCGTAAGCTCGCCAGCCCCTTTTACCACCGGCAGAGTTCCCACTCATACTTCCCAAACTGTTCCATGACTTTTCCATAACTTTTCCTGCATAATTTACATCTCGCACGTCCTGGGTTTTCATCTTTTTTGGAGCCATACCTTGTATTTTCCATCTGCTAACCAGAGGTCACTGAAAACACCCTTACCCGGCATTCTGACCCGGGCGGACAGCTAGCTCACGGCTCACTGTAAAATTCCCACGAGAGGGTCTGGCGCCACGCTATCCCGTGTCATGTTAGCAACGGCAATGCCGTCGCCTCTTTTTAAAACTTTGCCAACCAAGTTAAATGATGCAGCCGTGATCATTTTGGGTCAATTAAGACACACTTCCATGGCTTCTCCAAAACTTCATGGGTATTTGATCTTTTTTCAAAACTTTTCCAGGTCTGGAAAAATGACATTTCATTTTCCATAGCTTGTCCAGGGTTTCCAGGACTGCGCCGGTTACTTTTGCTGAGGGAATCAGCCTGGAAGCTGACGGCCGGTTCTTTTTCCTTTCCACACCTCTCCTGCGGTCCCCTGTCTGCATCGGCTCGCCAGTCCCCTCTAGTGCCGACAGGGAGTATTCGCCTCGAGGCAGACAGTTTCATTGCTTTCCCCCCTGCTGTTTACCAGGCACTTTCTACTTCTCTCTACTTCTCGTTAACAGCTTATCCCTTCTTCCGTTGCTCACATCTGCCTTCATCAATCTCCCAAACTGCCTGGACCCGTTTCTCTCATTCCGTCCGTTTCTCTCATTCAAGATCCCTGAGGCTGCTCCGATACCCAGATACTCCCCAATGCTCCGATACCTCGCGCTTGGAGCTCAGCTCTCTTTTCCCCTCGGCTCTGATTCTCGGGGACTGCAGCATAACACATGCATCGCAGTTTTCAACTTCAGGATTCAGCTTGTACGTAGAATTGAGGGATATCCCTTCGGGAGATCTGATCCATATCGTATCCTATCACAATCGCCCCAGTGACATTTCGTTGATTGTATCAGAATAACACAAGTGAATTCATGGTCGTGCTCTTGGTACTTATTTCTGTGCGAGTAACCTCTCTCTTATTCCAGGTATGTTGGTACCACTCTGTGGAGAGTGTATCTGGGCAGGCAGAGACAGGTGGGCTCCAACCCCAATGAAGTGGTCAGGCGGGTCCAGAAGATCACCATGCACCCCAGCTACAATTGGGCATTTGAGAACGACATCGCTCTGGTGATGCTGGACAGCCCCGTCTCCTTCACAGACTACATCCAGCCCATCTGTCTGGCTGACAACAGCAGCTCCTTCCTCAATGGCACCAGCTGCTGGGTCACTGGCTGGGGCTACACAGCAGGAGATGGTGTGTATTCTAATGACATACTGTACAGTACTCACTGTGATGGGGCAGCTCTGAGTTTTAATAATAATAATTCCTTACACCCATATTGTGCTCTTCTGGAGACGCCACTCAAAGCGCTTTACAGGTAATGGGGACTCCCCTCGAACCCCACCAGTGTGTCCCCCCACCTAGGTGATGCTCCAGTCTGCTCACACACAGCTGCTCTCAGTGGGGAGGAGAGCAGAGTGATGAAGCCAGTTCAGAGATGGGGATTATTAGGAGTCCATGATGGGTAAAGACCCTGGGGAAAT